CCCCCCCCCCTGCGTTTTTAATGTAACACTATCTAGTCTCAAACTCTGACAGCTACGACCCCCTCTTGAGCGGTGAAGAGGCAGACGTGCAAGAGGCAAATGCGAAGGACGATACGCATGTGACGGCAATATCCGTACCTCAGTTATTAATGGCCCCAGAGCTTCGTCGACCTCTCATCATCGTTTGCTTCTCGATGCTGGTGCAACAGTTGTCTGGTGCGTTGAATGTAACCGTCTTGGAGCAGTATTGAAAGACTTTGCAACCCAGGCGTCAATGCAGGTAAGTGATTCATCTTGTAACTGTGTCGCCCTATTGACAGTTTCCAGTCTTATACTACAGCAATGATATACTCTCCAACGCATTGCCCGATTTGGGACCATATGTTTCCTTGGGAATAACCATTGTGAATTTCTTGGTGACTGGTGCACCGATATTCCTAATTGACGTTCGTTACTTTACCTTACACCGGCCAATCGTCTGCAATATTGACCCATACATTCATTCACCTATCAGCGTCTTGGCCGGAAGCAACTCCTCTCCATATCCGCAGCAGGGGCGATTATATCTCTTTTGGGAGTCGGTTTTGGCTTGGATTCGGACATGGTCGCTTTAGCAAGCGTCACAATCCTATCTTTTGTGGCGTACGTAATGTATAATCTCGTTTGCTCCAATGATTAATTGCCGCCCTACTTAACAGCTCCTTTGCAATTGGGATTGGGCCTGTACCGTTTGTTATGATACCGGAAGTCTCACCACACCATGTAAGTATTGGGTCTTGATGCTGTCAATTTATGACCATATTGAGCGCACCATACAGGCGGTATCCGCATTGTCGTCGGTTGCGTTGTCCCTCAATTGTGGGTGTACAATCCCGGAACACATCATCTTGTTTGTTGATCTCTAACCACATTCCAGGGATCGCGAACTTCCTCGTCGGCCTTGTTTTTTTGCCATTGCGCAACCTACTCTCGCACGGGGAACACGACAGAGAAGGCCGAGTTTTTTATGTGTTTGCCGGGATGTTGGCTATCTGCACATTCGTGCTCTTCAGGTTTTACAGGGGATAACTACGGCGTGTCTCATTGTGTGTTCATGATTGGGTGATGATTCCTAAAGGAGTCTTGTACATTATCGAGCATATCGGAATTGTAGATACCTCCCTTCCTACATCAGGAGAGAGAACGCCACCGAAAAGGTGCTTTTCGCAAAGGATCCGATTTCAAACCGATTCGAAGTGCTTGCTGGGTCAGTGAGCGAGCATATCGTCGCGGCCGAGCTCGCTAAACGCATCCTTCCAGATGCATGTGCTTATTTCGAGAGAGTGGCTGCGCAGTGCGCGAGACACTGGCCGGGGTGGCAAGTCGGGAAGGGCGCCGAAGCATCAGAGTAACCCGGATGACGTAAGCATGCATCGCCCGCCTGCGCTGGTCAGAGTCCGCAGAGACGTCTCCAAGATCCCACACTCTGCTCTCATACTAATCCCCCATCCATACACTCTGTACTATAATTATGGCCTTGTTCAGGCGAAACAGAGGGGATGCTAATGGTGACTCTACGCCGGGCTCATCAGATACTCCGAAGAAGGAAAAGGGTAGCTGGAAGCGACCCGCAAGTGCGTCTCGACCATAGCTGTCATATTCTTCCTGACTCATACTGGGACAGATACGGCCTTCAAGCAACAGAGACTGAAGGCCTGGCAACCTATACTGACTCCAAAGACAGTACTACCCACACTATTTATCATTGGGATTATCTTTGCACCTATAGGAGGATTGCTGGTCTGGGGGAGTGGCTTGGTGCGCATGTCTTTAATTTGTGAACGACGACTGTACACTTGCTCATGATTTTCTGTCCATGACAGGTCTCCGAAATGACGTTTGATTACACGCAATGCCAGAATTTGCCAGAATCATCATCGGCTTCGGATTTGACTTTCCATAATCTCACCAACTTCAGCTACAAACTCAAGGCCTCGGACAGCAACGCGCCCTTCAATCCCCCTCAATATGCATTCGTGAACACCTCCGAAAGTAACGGTACTTTCTCGGCACAATGCTTCATTCAATTCGACGTCCCCATCGACCTGGAACCATCCGTATTTTTGTATTACAAGCTCACCAACTTCTACCAGAACCACCGGCGATATGTCAACAGCTACGACTCAAATCAGCTGAAGGGTCAGTTTGTTAGTGCCAGTTCGTTGAATAGCGGGAACTGTAAGCCACTTGCGGAGTCGGGATCGAAGGCTATCTATCCCTGCGGATTAATCGCGAATTCTCTCTTTAATGGTATGCATGGTTCAGTCGACTGGTCTTTCCAAACTTTGCTCAACCCTATGCAGATACTTACTCTGCACTAAACCTCACCACCGATACATCACAAACATACAACTTCTCCCAGACAGGAATTGCTTGGCCGGGTGAGGCCAAGAAATATGCTGCCACGCCAGGCTACAATTTGTCGCAGATCGTACCGCCGCCCAACTGGGCGGTCAGGTTCCCGAATGGCTACACTACTGAGAATCCTCCGCCGAACTTAAAGACAGACGAGCATTTCCAGAACTGGATGCGCACCGCAGGCTTGCCTACGTTCACTAAGTTGTGGGGACGTAATGACAACACTACGTTGGTGAAAGGCAGATATCAGATTGCTGTCAATATGAGTACGACCGGTTGCAATTGTATGTTTGCATTCACAGATATTGATCATGTTTTCATAGATTACCCGGTGATCTCGTACTCAGGCACGAAATCTATCGTCATCTCAACTGTGTCCTGGATTGGGGGGAAAAACCCCTTCCTCGGTTGGGCCTATGTCGCTGCTGCATCGCTGTTGATTTTCTTGGCGATTGTAGGCACGATTCGTCACATGATTCGACCTAGGTACGTAACAGATGCTGTGTCTGGATTGATGTAACTCAATGCCGTTGTATTTTTGCGCACAGAAAATTGGGCGACATGTCGCTGCTATCGTGGAACCGATAAGGAGGGTACTCTGCATGGCATATGACGGACTTTATACGTGTATCATCATGCGACGGCTCCTCGCTGCGAAGCCATGCGTCTTCTAATCGGATTTTATGCTGTATTTTCATTCTTTGTACTCATGCCCGTGTGTGAAGGCCCTCTCCCAGGGACATTTATACAGGCCGGCAAGCGTAGTGCTATCATATGGGATCTCCGACGCTACGCCACCACAGGTGGTTTTACGCATGTGCTGATACGAAAGATTTTATCCGACATGCTAAGGGCTTTGTAAGTGGCGTCAAGCGTCTCGGTTACGAGCCTGCGACTCTGCCCGCGGGAGGTTCAATATGTAGGCTTGATACGGACCATGTAGCTGACCCGAGATACAGGTTGCGAACCACCCCGAACTGTGGTGAGCTTGACAGGAGTTAACACGGAGGACAGAATACGTGAGTATGCCGCGGGATCGGTGCCGCGATTCATTCGAAGTGCATCGAAGGCAAATAACAACCCAAGCTTAAAGTTACTTCAAAACCGGCTGCTCGGAAGCACAGAGAACGCTGGAAGCTGAACAAATGGTACTAGTATTATTACCCAGGCATCCGTGTGCTATGGTACTGAGTAGACATGATACAGGCCAATTGATGCGGACCGCGCTGCCAGTGTGCGGCGAGTGTTTCAACACACGTACTGTACTATAGAGCACTGTTTCTCGAAAGGGCCAAGCTACTCTTGCCAAACGTCCATTCATCCTTCATCGGCTACGACTTCATGATATCATCCATTCGGTTGTCAGGCTAGTACCAACGGCGTCGTCTATTATGTATGTCTTTTTCGCCATTGTATAGGTAATACATATTATTTTCATATTGACTCAGCGCGAAGACGAAGGAAGGATTCTGAGTGCGAGAGTGGAAAATCACCAACATCTTCAATGATCGTTCAAGCGACGGACGCGGACAATGCCCGCCATTTTTCGCCAGATGCAGTGCCGTATTCGGATTGTGAATCACTATGCTAACCCGAAAGTTGTTACTTACTGCGCTGCAGCTCTGCGCAAGTGTGCCGTTGATGATGTAGATAGCTGATAGAGCTATTACTTGTGTCAGGTCGGCACAAGGTTCATTCAGAAAAGTGAGGGCCCGAGTGGTCTTGTTCGCCTTACACCCCGCCGGGATGCATCTTGAGATTTTGAGATTTTGACATTACAGCCCGGCGGACCAATATGAATTGCTCAAGGCCCTCCAAGTTCCAACCCGGGTCTCTTCAATTCTTCCAAATTGCCGGGATCATCTCTGCATTACGGCATATGTTCCACCCGCGATCTCATGACGGTCGGCGCTAAGTGAGTCCAGACTGTTTTCCGAGTTTCCGACACCAGCACTCTTCCTGAGTGCTGGTGTCGTCGAACCGTTCTATCCGGAACCGCCACACAATTGTCTCCGGGAATCGTATGAGGTGTGTTACAACAGACAACTTGCCTGCTCTCGTGTCACTAACATGCACCGCATGAATAAATCACCCAGACGTGATGCTTTTCCGACTGGCAGGTGCGCACGTTCATTTGTCGATGAGAGAGTCTCGCAATCGCCATCCTACTTGGCACTTGATGTGATGCATCATCGACATATGAATGGAACCCGCACTCATCTCCGGGCCTCTGGCTAAGCTTGAGATGGTCGCACTCTCTTCGAGGCGTGGCAGGGAACTAGGGCGCGTTCCTCTCTGATCGTGAACTTGGGTCAGATATGACAGCCTCGCCTCGAGGCTCTTCCATGTTCATTGCGGCACTCTAATCCGATCCTGATTGATGGCACTACTCAACCAAACTATCATAGGCGACAGTCACCGAAGAGTTCGGCAGGTTTGCGCCATGCTCCACGAGTCCAATCGCTCTATAAGTAAAGATCGTCATCCCGCTGCTCCTGATTTCCCCCGACTTCATCTTTCGGAGTATTCGACTCTCGCTAGTTCTGGCCATGTCATCACCTCTTGCAGGCCCCTTGTTTATACTTCTAGTGGCGTGTGTTCTTTTGCTCTACGTGAAAAGCCTTTCGCAGAAACGCTTACCCCCGGGCCCTCGAGGGTTGCCATTGATTGGAAATGCGCTGCAGGTGCCAGCTGGTCGAGAATGGGCCACATTCGCTGCTTGGGCCCAGATGTATGGTATGCACCACAAGAAGCTGTTTAGTGATTCACTCTTCTAAATAGCACGGTGTATTTTCTTATGTTCCCAGGAGACTTCATGTACCTCTCCGTCTTTGGAAGGCCTATGGTCGTGTTGACTTCCCCAGATGCCATCTCCGATCTGCTCGAGAAACGAGGCACCATCTATGCCGATCGGCCAAAGCTGACCATGTCAGGAATGTAAGTCTTCCTGCGTCTTTATGTGTAGTCCTCGATCCAAATGTGACAACAGGATAGGGCATGACGACGGCGTCCCACTTGCGCCGTATGACCGCCAACACAAGGAACGCCGAAGGCTTATCTTGAATGCGCTTGGTCCACGAAACGCGACCGAGATGCAGCAGATCCACGAGGATAAGATGGCACAGCTGCTGCCACGAATCCTGGAATCCCCTTCACAGTTCCATCAGCATATCCGATGGTAGGCCCGGTTTATGATCGTCTGCGTTTGTCCTCTCGCTCATAGGGGTGAAACAGGCTCGTGGCGAGCATCGTCTATCAATTCACTCACGGACACGTTGTCCACGACTCTCACGACCGTCTGTTCCAGTTAGCAGATCAAGTGAATCAAGATTTTGCACGTACTATCGCCCCGGCTGCTTTTCTCGTGGATATATTTCCCTTCCGTGCGTGCCTCTGTCTTTTAAAAATACATGGTCCCGACGCGTTAGGCGCTAGTACGCTATTTACCCGACTGGTTCCCTGGCACGGGCTTCAAAGCAGTTGCAAAGGAGATGCGTAAAACCTGGGTGCGGCTCCGCGACGAAGCCTATGACGACATCCAAGCACAGGTCGTACGTACCGGATAATCATTGCCCTCAAGCTGTGTGAATTTACGATTCAAATTATGCCATCAGGCCAAGGGCATGGCCCAACCATCATTCACAGCAAACCTCATAGAAAGCAACCCAGAACGAACGCCTGAAGAAGATTTCTTGTATAGGAATGTGTCCGCTTCATTTTACGCCGGTGAGTGTGAAGGCGACGTCCACTATGTCATATAGATTAACGGGCTTCGGCATTTCAGCTGCTTCTGACACTGTGAGCGCGCTGTTTGGTCGACGAGCTTGTGACTGAATCCTTTCAGACTGTCTCAGCGATTGAGTCTTTCTTCCTTATCATGGCACTCTATCCACACATTCAGACTAAAGCACAAGCCGAGATTGATGCAGTTGTGGGCTCCGCCCGCCTCCCTACATTTAGCGACAAGCTGAAGCTGCCATACATCGAGGCACTAATCAAGGAGATCCACCGCTGGAATCCTGTCGTCCCGATGGGTAGGGAAATTTCTCACATAATATGATGATTGTCCCGCTGATGACGCTGTACTCTTCGGTATTCGTAGCCGTACCGCATCGAGCAATGCAAGATGACGAATACAGGGGATATCACATCCCGGCCGGGTGTACTGTCATTGCTAATAGTTGGTACGCCTTTTCATGCAGGGAGTTTTACTTTCAAGCTGATGAATTTTCAAATATGTGCATAGGGCTATCTTACATGACCCGACGCTGTACCCGGATCCGTTTGAGGTTATTCCAGAACGATACCTAATAAAGACTGACGGCCGGCGCAATCCGGATCCTCGAGCTTGGGCTTTCGGATATGGGCGAAGGTGAGCCCATGTGAGGGAGGAGGAAACTTTACTCACAAGTCGTATCAATATCCTCTGTTCTCGCCTTCACTGTTGTTTCGTCGATTCTCCAGATCGTGTCCAGGCCAGGTACTCGCCGAGGACACATTATTCCTTGTTGTCACCACCATACTTGCGACGTTCGACATATCAAAGCCGCTGGGACCCGATGGTACTCCTCTAGAGCTCGACGCAACTTACTCGGGCTCGTCGATTAGGTGCGTTTTGATCCCTTCATCTGCTTAGTCTGGTAGCTTACTTGGTGCTATTGCTATGGCCCGCGCATAGCCATCCAAGTCGGTTTGAATGCAATATCACGCCGAGGTCGCAAGACATAGCACGACTAATTAAGAGTATGGCAGACATCGCTGGGACCCAGGACGCCGGCTTATTGTGATGAAGTGAACATTGTTTATGATTTTATGAGCTTGACGAATAACCACGTTGCAGCCTTGTTATATTGATGGCCGTACTGTTGTACTGTACCTGTTGTATAGTATGTTGTACCTGTCAGTGTTATGATACCCACCTTGTAGCAGGGCTATTCTTCCCCTGTCATTGTGTTGTATGTAAGCTAGTCGCAGTAGTTGAATTCTCTGCAGATCTGTCTTCTGTGCAATAATAGGTGAATCTAGGTAGATCTTCGATGACGGAACACTATATTTTCTCCAATATCATTTTGTAAATTTGCCATGGCTTCACCCCACAGCTAGCTATAGTATCGGATTAGTTAATGACATCCACAAGCGTACAGCGTACATTTATGTCTGGTCATTTCCGGCGGGGATATCATGGATTTCGAAGCCAGGTCCATCTCCGGATGATGGTCCATCCTCGGATAACCCAGGCTTGAACACGAGGTGAATGGCTCGATATTTTGTGTCCTTTCGTGAGGCCAACATAGAACGGGTCCGCCAGTAGAGAACTCACATTGAATGCCGTGGAGATTCTCAGAACAGAAGCGATCAATTACTCGAAGTCAAAGTGCTAGAGTGCGCCCCAAGGGCGAACTACACAATACAACCAACAACCAACTGCAGAACGTTCAACACAGTGAGATAGATTAATGCACAGGGTATGCGAAGATGCATGAGGTGTTCAGTCGGGCAATAGAAATAGGTTATATGGAAAATCCAAATGAATGTGTGGCCTGGAGAAGTGTAAGAGGAAACAATGTCAACGGCGTAACGTCTGACCCAGCTGTGAGAGAAACCATGAGGTCAAGTGCCGAGCAGAAAAACGGGTGTACGGACATTTCTCCGCTGTTGTCCCAACCAACTCGTCGGACCTGACCGTAGCTGCTGCTGCTTATTGCCCAGGTGGTCTCTTGCGGCTTGCATGCCCATATCGTGGATGACACTTAACATGAGCGCTTGTTCCCGTGCGTATCGTTTCGTAGCATCGACAAGGAGACGCTGTGCAAGGAGGCTGAGCGTCACCGAACTATACCAATGCAGATATGATGAACCTTTTGTCTAGCAATGTCTTCCTCGAAAATCTTGATTTGCGAGCGATAACTCTCTTCTGCTTCTTGGAATGCACCCTATGCGCAAGCGTCCAACAGCTCGTTCTTCAACGTGTAATGAGGACTTACGGGAGGTGTTACACCATCTTTCTTCGCATGTTCTTCCTTGAACAACTTATCTTGCTGTTTGATGAACTGCATTGCGATCAGATGATTTGGCATATCAATATACGTCCAATTCACATACTGTCTTGGCTTTGAGAAGTTTCTCCTGAGCGACCTTGTATTGTTCTTTGAGCGCAATATTCTCCTCGTGTAGACCGAGTAGACGCGCTTTGATGTCTTCGGGCACGTCCTTCCCTGATATAGACGCGCGCAAGTCGCTAATATTTCCACTCAATGTTGACCATTCAGCGAGGAGATCCTTGGTACTCACCCAAAGGCGCGTTCGCGTTGAAGCATCCTGTCTCGCTGGTCAATGCCTTCACTTTGTAGACTGACTTTCTCCAGTAACAATCCGTTGACCTGCTCGAGTTGCATCTTGTTCTTGTCAGACAACTCTTTGATCTGATTACGTAGCTCTTCGACTTCAACCTCAAGACCGGCTTTGTCTTCGTTGACCGATTCCCGAAGGGTGGCGAGAATATCGAGTTGATCCTTGTTGACAAGGTTCACTAACAACATATCAGCATGCGATTGCGCTAAGAGGGACGCCCACCTACAATCTGACTTGGCAATAGTCAACTCATTACTCATGTTCTCGAACTTGACCTCCAATTCAGCATGTTCTTTCCGTAGCGCATCGAGCTGATCGACGGTCTCGTTCAAGCGCTGACGCAATGCGATCGCCGCTTCGGCACTATATAGGCAAGAAACGTTGAGCATGACCATAGAGCCCAAAGCGGTGACAGTGTTACTAACCCGTCACCCATTGACTTTCCACTTCTAATCTCCTCCAGGTTGTGTTGCAGCACTAGTGTTTCTCGATGCGCAGCAAGGTAGTCAGCCTCGTATCGCGCCTTCATTCGGTTCGCATCGTCTAGCAGGTTTTCAAGGACTAAGACGCGGCTCGCGTCCGCCTCATTCTTCCGCACTGCCTCCAATTCCCGCTGAAGTTTGCGCACTTGTAACTTAAGGTCCGTCATTGTGGTGCCTGAGAGCGCCGAGTCTAGTTCCTCTCCTAATCCCTGCATATCTCCATCGTCATCCTCAGTATGCTCTGCCTCACCTGCGTCATTGCCCAACAACTCTGCCTCAGTAAATTCATCTGTATTCCCTTCTGTGCCGTCAGTAGGGCGCGAACGTGAGGATGCTGCGACGAGAGGACGTCCATGTGATGTGAGCTCAAGCTCACGAACGCGCTCCTGATACAACTCGAGTGTCTCGGAGTCTTTGGCCCGCTCGTCTTCTGACACTTTCAACTTCGCTTTAGCCTGGTCAAGCTCGAATCTCAAAGTATCCAGTTCCTTAGTCCGCGCGGAAGCTTTCGTCTCCAGCTCGGATATTTGAGTCTTGTACGAGTCCATAAGAGGCTTAAATGCGGCAACCTTCCGGTACTCCTCTTCCAGGGAAGCATTTTTGTCTACTAGATCTGCATTTTGCTTCTCCAGTGCCTGAGGGTTATGGCGATCAGCAAGTGTCTGGCTTCACAAATTTCGAAACTACATACCTTGACGTGTTGTCGTAGATCTGCCCCTTCTTGAAGCTTTTTCTTGTACTTCTCCATTACATTTTCCGTCTTTTGCAGTTTATCAGCAGCATGACGATATCTGCACAGAAATATTCAGCATTCGAGATATCTTAAACCGATACAACTTACTCATCGACCTGATCCTTCAGACGAGCCGCCTCATCCGCTTGCACTTGCAATTCGTCGATCTTACGTGTGAGATCCGTGACCAATGTGGTTTGCTTGTCTAGCTCTGCTTCCGTCATGGCTAGATTATCTTCGCTCTTCTGGCTGTCTTACATTAAACCTGGCATGTTGGCATCAGAGTGTATCCAGTACTCACAGCTCAGTTCGCAGGCGGTCAATCTCTGCTCTCATCATCGCATCTCCTCTGCTGTCAACACGCTTACTCTCCGCTTCGCGCTGAGCTTGACGCAGTTGGGCGAGAGCGTCTTCCTTCTCGGAAGTCACATCATCAAAGTTGGTCTGCAGTGTACGGTGTTCCTCGAGGAGGGTCTGATAGACCTTCTCGATGGTCTCTTTCTCTGATAGAGTGCGACTGCGCTCCGACTGGATCTGATAATAGTGGTCATCCTCGGTCATGCTCACCTCGCCGAGGCTCGCGTCTCCAGAGACCTTCACTTTAGCCATGACCTGCTCAATGACACGCATGAGGGTATGCTGCTCGGACTCGCTTAGTCGCTGGATCTTCTTGATGATGTCCGCATTCTTCTCGCACTGTACTGTAATGGCGATCGTGAGACGACACATTATAAGCGTTGCTGATATATTGTAGTCCTGAGCGATGGCTTGGAGGTCGGGGACCTCGAGCGCGCTTGTGGGTTGGTGGAGGACATCTGAGAAATACTGGGTCATGAGCCGGTACAAGCGTTTGAGGGCACTAAACCGGATGACCCAGTTGTCCGAGGGTTGGACGGAAGGGCGGGCTGGGGGACGGAAATAGTCCGCATCGCTGCAGATGAGAGCATCAAGCTTGTCCGAGAACGATAGGCTCACCCGTAACTCACATTAGTGACAAGACCTCGAATAGAGCGGCACCGTCGGAGAGGTCAGCAATAGTAGCGACTGGCCGAGTCAGCTCAAACGTGGCAAAGAATGAGAAAAAAGCATTCAACTCCTTCCGCTGAGCATCTCCCATGGCCGCGCGTGGTCGCTAGAATTCAAGGGTATATGATCAGACCCTGGTCGACCAGGTCGTTACGGTCGCAGCTGAGAACGAGCGCCTCCCGATGATCTACAGGACCAGCGACCGTGACCGCGCTAGAATATCTCGCTCGCTCACTGACTCAGTCTACGTGCTTGCAGCTGGAAATGGCCGCCGTTGAGCCCCTCTTGGTCGATGGCAGTGTTCTTGAAGGGGGCGGTCAGATCCTCCGTAATACAGTTGCTTTTGCCGTTCTTCTCTCGCGCCCAGTCTCAATACACAACATTCGACACAACCGCCGTAAACCGGGCCTGAAAGCTCAGCATGCCGCGGGTGTGTCGTTTCATATGCTCCTCGCGCACACAATGTATTGAATATTGCTCTAAAGGTCTCCGCCTCGTGGCGAAAATATGCTCAGGACACCTATCTGGCTGTGACATCGGATCGTCCGCAATCGAATTCCGTCCTGGTCCTATTGGGTTGTCTAGTACCTATGTCGCAGACCCAAAGACTGCAGGATCAACTGCTCTTTTATTGCAAGTCTCTTTGCCGTGCTTGATATTTATGTCCGCTCCACCCTCGGAGACCGTCTCACCTACCCGACTGATTTTGCGCGGTGGAACGAATGCACCCCTGGCACCACAAATAGACATGCTGCTCGCGTTTTCCTGCCGTTCATCCAGCGACGCTTTGGACTCACCCCGGACTTGCGGATACTTAAACGAGGCTTCGTTCCCAAGGGTGGGGGTGAAGTTATTGTCTCGGTCACTCCTCAGTGTGATCCTCTACCGTCTGTTGTCGTCACAGACCGAGGATCTGTCACTTCTATAGGCGGCAGAGCGTACGTTGCAGGTCTGCCTGCCCATCTAGCAACCAGCATGCGCGATGGCGCAGCTACTATACTGTCTAGGGCAGGAATGGACCCGGGTCTCGTTAACATTACTGCAGTTAGAGAGAAGCCTGAAGAGGCGATAGGCAGCGGGTCTGGGATCGTCCTTTGGGCCGAGACAAGTGGTGGATGTGTATTGGGCGGAAGCGCCATTGGAGCGAAAGGGAAGGATCCTGAAAAGGTAGGGGCAGAAGCAGCCGAAGAATTGATTCGCAATCTAGGACACGGAGGCTGCGTAGACGAGTACTTACAAGTGCGCCTAAATCATGCTTTATGATGATTATTTTAATTCACCGCAAGACGTTCCATATATCTCATTAGGATCAGATGATCATCTTCCTTGCTCTCGCGAAGGGGCGATCTCTGATCAAAGCTGGACCCTTAACACTGCACACAAAGTACGTCTCGTGAAGTGGATTGCAACCAGACTGTTGACAATGCTTGCAAGATCTGCCATCTGGGTGGCAGAGCAGCTAACTGGTGCCAAGTTCCTTATCACTGAACTGGAAGGACAAACTTGGATAGAGTGTAATGGGATTGGATACACTGCTTTAGTATAGATGAATACCTCAAATCAGTATCATATCATTCAAGACAGTTCCTCATATCAGGCATTCTATATCCTACTATGCAAGACTACCATTTGCACCTCAAAAAGTATCAACAGTGCTATTATGACTGTGTTCAATGTGCATGCTATCCATACTGCATCTACATAGAGCATACCCAGGTACAACTCCATCAATGACCCCTCAAGCAGGACCAGTCCACCCAGCCATTTTAGCACTCCAAAGAGTGATAATGGCAGACTTAAGCCAGAACAGCTGGCTACAAGCCTGCAGGTCCTCAAAGGCATCATCACAAAGACAACAACTTTGCGTGTGGCACAGACAGTAGTGTGGGCAACACCACCAACACAACAACTACTGGATATACACAGATACACATAGGCCAACTCAAGGCCAATGCCACAGCCTTTTCAGCCTCATCAGAACCAACAGCCATAAGCCAGCACACCCACAGCACACATCATCCCCAGGCACCCAATAATATGTAATTAGAACATCAAATATGAAAAATTAATAATCTACCCACTACTTGATCCATTTGACACACCAAGATTCCAAGTCAATTGACTCAACACCAAGTGTACCAAAAAGAAAAAGCAAAAAGTCCCCCGACAACACAAGCCTATACTGCAATAGCAAGGTCATCACACCTCCAGGTTGCAAGCAGAGCCCGAAGAACAAGGGCGGCAAAAATTAGATAACCAATAATGGAGGCGGTGCCTCCATAATAGTGGTTAAACTATTAAGAACAGATACTACACTTGATCTAAGCCAAAAGGCCAGAGTGGTAAAGATTCGTAATGTCTCAGCATGCGTTTTATACGGACCGCACGACGCACGGACCAGAGGATTGTTTGGCCTATAAACATGCCTCATTTGGATGTACAAACACGATCGGTAATGAGACGCGACGCGTCTGTGGCGCATTCTTCATCGCGTCTGGGCTTGCGTCAACAGCCAGCCTCCGACCGCTTTTACGCACACTCGTGGCCATCATGGTATCTTCAGCAGCGATGGAAAGTATCAAAAATCCTACCTCAACATTAAAGTCATTGTATTTAGAAGTCGGGGAATCATCCGTGGATTTTCCTCGCCTCGTTTCTGAACATTACTCTAATATATACAGAACATCAGAGGCATTTCAGAAGGTACGGATTCTGCAGAAATTTTGAGAACTTCAACTTTGAGTTTCGCTCAGATACCTACTCTGAACGCCCATCACCCGCCGAACGCGTTTCCCGATAGAACCCTTGTCCGCTTCCGCGCCATGGTTCAAGACACATCGCCGTCTTCAGAGATGTATCTTTCCAAGTCGAAAAATGGCGTGTGTGGAGGATGGGGTATGGAACTTGCTGACACTGGGGACGACGACGTTAACTACGCCGATCTGCGAGAGTGCACGGTATTATGGGCTGTGAATGTGCCAGGAGAGTCGCCGTGGTGTAGCACTGAGCTCGATGGTCCAGAAGATCGTACGTGGTAAATTGATGTGATATGCCTGGACTGTGCTGATGACAAGTGGTAGAACAAGAGCGGCAAGAGTACTCTGCTGCCATACGGTCTCATGAAATTACACTGGCGCACAAGTTTCCGCATCCGACGGATCCACATGTTGGAGTGCAAGTGAAGGTAGGCTATGTGCTTTTTCACACCATCTATTAGTTCATTTAGCACCGGCAGATATACGACTCTAACTTTGGGTCCGAAGCACTCAAGTCTACAGACTTGGTTACCTTTGTCGGAATCTTGACCACTGAGTCGTCAGTATCTCTAACTTATGCACCTTCCGATCGTCTCACTGCGAGAGTTCGATCTTCTAGCTCGAGTGTAGACATCGACAGTACCGCCGAAGTGCCTACGCTGCATGTCTTATTCATCCGATCGCATCCTCATTCACTCATTTCCCGGCCGTACCCATGTGTGCTGCAAGAACCTCCTGCATTGTATACGGCACAACTTAGGGACGATCTTCTTACATGGATAGCAGAGGAGGCATTGGATGGAGACCGTGATGCTGCTGAATGGGTTTTACTTGCATGTATAGCTCGCGTGTAAGTTCGCTAGAGCGCTCGCCAACATATCTCATCGCGTATCATCCAGGCAATCACGAAACCCTTCCCTTTTACCGCCCTCTCTGACTATCACGCACTTTCCCCAACCTCCACCGATACCATCTACTATCATCACTCCTCGAGAGCCCATTCCTACATTATCGCTACTTCTCCAATATCTCATCCCTTTGACACGCACTCTGCCGCTCTCCCTCAACATCTTGAATAAGAAACTATTAGCACCAGAAAGCAAGGACGAAGATTTACACGCCGGTGCACTACAACTTCCGCAAGGTACTTTCCTACTTGTTACAGAGAGTGGTATAAAAGAAGGCAAGCTTACCGAACAGGGTCCGTATATATTGTATACAGATCTCTATTCCATTCTCGAATTTTCATGCTGCATATTTCTGTTCAGGCTATCGAAACATCCATACCTTGCAGGAGGTCATATCGACGCAGACACTAGCATATGTTTTCCCGTTTTCGCAATTCTCCTTCCAGACAGACATGAGCTGTGTGGTTCTCAGCGAGGGAAGCAAGAGTGCATTCTTCAAGGTACCCTCCATCGCTTGGCTTATACTGTATACGCTCAGTCTTAGGATATAGACCGACCTCTCTTATCCCATCAGGACGACTCCTGCGGGAAGAGCATCGCTGTACAAGCTCGAAGATGATGTTGTCCTCCCTCCTCCTGCGCGGTTGGCTGCTTTCAGAGATTTTGTCGTCGGCGCTCGCTCGGGCAAGGTACAGGTTGACGAAGCAACATCGGAGGTATTGCTTATCACTTTCTATGTTGAATAACTGATCGCCCTATGCTATACAGTACATACAACGTGATTTCGTCCGCGACCGGCAGCAGGACAAGTCGATTACGTCTGATGATCTCATAAGACGAATGACTGTTGCGAAGTGAGTGTCTGACTGTGACTCCTGCCCTTCATAAACCGCCTTGTAACGCGTTCTTGCAGATTGTATGCATTGTCACTGCATGAGTCTACGCTCACAATCGAGGTATGGGAACAAGCCAAGGCCTTTGATGAAAGGAGGCGGGCGGCCTGCTCACAACGTCAGAGGAATTATAATCCGACAAGTGGAAGATGAAACTTGTTCTCCAGACTCCTGGATAAGGCCTGGCTGCCCAGTGGCTACGAATCTTCTCGACTACAGCAGAACTTTAGTTAGAGCTTCACTGGTTTTAACGGATTGCTGCTGCTAGTTCCGCTCGAATCTTCGTTGTGGTCATGGAATTGTATTGCGTTACAGACCTGCAAATGCGATAAATTCACCTCAATATATCTCCGCCACCGGGCCATGAGTCTCAGATATAAGCCACAGGAGAAGCAAGGCTTATGTATATGTATGAATAACAAGGCGGCAACGTACGCGCGTCTAGCGTCTGTTCAACTCTTTCATGGTTGTTGCTCATGCTCTCTGCTGCATCGTTTACATTCGTGTATCTCATCTTCCTTGATTTCCAAAAACATCGTGCCTGAATCTTGAACGTTCGGTATCATCGAACTTCTTATTCTTCGCTTTGAATCTCCATTCCGACTCTTATTGACATATTTTCACAATGACAAGCACTGGTCATCTCGTCTCCTTGAAAGTCATGCGGGTCTCAGTGCGTTTACCGTCACCTGCAGGTTCGGGTTCGTCAAGATTGAGGACCACTTCATGTAGCGACCCTCGTTAGCAAGCGCATGGGAGCCTTTCTACTCAAGTTCACCATCATTCTCAGCGCATTCGACCACGTCCATCGTTTCGTTGCAAGGGAAGACAGCGCTTCCCGGACACCCCAAAACTCTGCGCGATTTGAGTCATGTCACGGAAGTGCTCATGCTCCCATCCTCGTTTGGTGCAATTCAGCTGGGTGAAACATTCACTAGTTGTCTGTCTGTGAACAATGAGGCCAGCGTTGATGTGGAATCGGTCACTTTGACGGTGGAAGTGCAAACTGCTTCCACGAAAGCTACTGTCGCCGAATTCGGTGGGCCCGATTTTCGACTAGCCGTCGGGGAATCATTGGAGAAGGTTGTCGGCCATGAAATAAAGGAACTGGGTCAACACGCTTTGGCTTGCACAATCTCGTATCGTCTTCCATCCGGCATCCGTGCCCCAGTAGCCCCAGCAGCTGATTCAAACGATCCAAATTTGTATGTTTTCCGTAAGTTCTATAAATTTGCAGTAAGTGTGCACTCGTGACCAAAATTTCGATGCTAAATATGTGTTTCTGTAGGTCACCAATCCGTTATCTGTTAAGACAAAAGTTCACGTACCTCGTGCACCGTCGGCTACGTTTTCCCGTGTGGAACGCGAGAAGGTGTTTCTCGAAATACACGTTCAAAATCTTACACAAGATGCAATGTGGTTGGAACGTATGCGCCTTGAGTGTGCTGACGGTTGGAAGGCAGACGATGCCAACCTAATGAACGACGAGGATGCTAGCGAAAGCGTCTTCTCCGGCTCCATGGGTCTCATGCAGCCGCACGATATGCGTCAATACATTTACATCTTGTCACCCGTCAACCTGGCACTTTTTCCTACAGCACATCAGCCCGGTAGTGTCGTGCCATTGGGAAGATTAGACATCACATGGAAGTCTTCATTTGGAGAGCCAGGTCGCTTACTGACTTCAGTGCGTATTATATCATGCTCTATATGGTTCATCCGTTCTGAGGGTGTATTAGATGCTATCTCGACGGATACCGCTCATCCAAGCCCCACCGCAACTGCACCCCCCTGCATCGGCTTCCAAGCAGCTTGCATCAGCCATACCGCTTCACTTGCAACGTGCTTCGTCTGTCGCTGCCACTCCCCCGCGCCCTCGTTCACCTCAGCTGCCCCAGCGACCCTTAAGTCCACCTGCTAATGCTACTGGACCTGCGCCGTATCGGCCTGGATCACCGTTCCGCAACCGTACCTCAATGCCTCCGTTAAATTTACAACCTCTCAGTGTTCCCTCATCACCCAATCCAGCTATCCGTCGTCAAGATGATGTGGATGTTGATCTTGTTATCCGCAACATTCCCCGCGCAGACATCAAAGTGGAGAGTTCGTTCGTTGTTGACTTCACCCTCAACGTCTTGGCACTGGTCCCAATCGCTCAACCTTCAGAAATACAGAGCACCAGACTCCTCTCACTCGTGATTCAGCACGTGCAGCGACGGCGGCAGGACTCTTCGTCAGCTGTCGCTGCAGAGCACAAAGAGGGCCCTCTCAGTCCCCGCCTACCTTCGTCTGGATTCTCATCACCCTCTCCATATGAAACGCCACATCGTGCTGATTTCCAGGACTTTCTGGCCCGAAGACTTCTTGTAGCGTCTCCGCGTCGGCTGAATGCAGACGACGAATCTAGTCACACAGAACTTGATGGAGGCCGCGATACACCTGCACCCGCTGATGTTGGGGGGAACAGTGGCACTATTGCGCTGCCTCCTCCATTTATAGAGTCGGAGGAGGAGAAGCAAGCTCCATCTCCCAGTGTCGTGTATTTGGGCAGTTCCGCCGTGTTTCTACCCCAGCTGCGTTTGACTCCTTCAGCCGATTCGGTTTCTTCTGCTGCTCGCGGACATCTCCCAGCCCATGACAGAAATATCAGTACTAGTACTGTAGGCAGTGATGCCGACAGTGAGTTGGATAATGCCATCGGAAATCCGGTGGCGAAGGTGGTGGTGTCGAAGGATTTCCAATTGTCATATTTACCTCTTCGACATGGTTTTGCGACATTCGGCGGACTAAGAGTTGTGTTGGTCGAGGACAGGCTGGTAGACGACAGTAACAGTGAAGCAGTTGGAACAAGATGTTTCACTGCTGAGACGCGAGCGCTGAAAGAATGGGGTGTTGTGGGCGAAGTATGGGTACCCTCTTAACTACAGCCTATAGCCTAGCATACCCGTGATGCTTCCGACGTGATTTTTTGGAGCACGGCGTTCAGCTGCATCACTGTACAAGGTAGATGCGCAAACTCACATTGTACCTTATTAGTATGTTGTAGATGTTCTGTACGCCTCCTGTGCTCATCGCATGAGCATATTGCAATTGTATTGATGCGCGTACGGTCGCTACCTGAGCCATAGTCATGATGAAGGGATAAGCCTCTTCCGGTGTCATGCACACTACTTACTGGACAAGACTCCATGTTCTCGAAATTTTGGTAGCGTTGAGCACCAATCAGCCCGCCTCTGATAGCGATCTCCCTGTCATGTCCCTAGACCGATTCCGAGTCGTCGCAAAGTGCCTGCAGTGG